TGTAAATATTTTAAGAGTGAAATGTTCTAAATATCAACAAAATATCCAGTGATTTAAATGAGGTAAATCAAATTTCACAAAAAGATAATCATTAAGGCTTAGCAAGGCAAAAGTGGTCATGTATAGGATGTAAGCACTACCTACCATCTCTTTTTGCATAGTCCTCATAAGAAATATGGAACGACTCTGAGGTATCCTCCGAAATCTTATCATAAGCACCCTCAGGGAGACTACTGTCTGTGACATGCAACCGCATTCCACTTGAAGCACCGAATGATTCTAAGGTCCTTGCGTCGCCATCGCACGAACATACGTGCTTATCCTCATGATCGAAAAGGTCTATCCGCATCGTGCGGTTGTCGCAACCAGTGACGAGAACAAGTCTATCCTGAAATAGGAATAATCAATTAACACAAAGAGACAATGGGAGTAGACAGATAAGGCACGTTATAAGAACCTCACTTTGAGGTTTGATATAGTGATGTTTAGAGGATAACGCTTCTCGCATCTTATTTTGCTTGCGGAGGAAGTCACGGATAGAGAGGCGAAGGGGCTGGGTGGATCCATTCGATTGTACAAAGGTGGGAAGTACAAATATTGAAGCTTTATATTTAATTTTGTCAATTGAACATGAGAATTATTTAAATATTTATTAAATCATTTTCAATGTATTGTATGAATGAGGTTATAGCAACCTGCCACCAAAGATCAAACGCATGTGATTGAGGTTAATATTTTGTGCCCTTTACCTAATATTTATTTAAAATATAAAAAGTATATGATTAAATTATATACCTAAAGTCATGCTTAAAAATATTGTTTTACTGAACCGATTTTTATTGTGCTATCTGTTTAAATTATTCTTATGTATACGCTATTGTATTAAGTTTATCAGTTCAGTAATTTAGGTGTATCCTTTGTTCCTAGTCTGCATTTGTTCTCTAATAACCGTTTATATTGGCAATAGCTTTAATAAAATCAGATACGTGTTCATTAACGAACGTCAATATTCACTAATGCTAGTATCATTGCGAATAAATGTTTATAAATACAAATTTACCTAAAAGTATGGTTGTTCCTTGAGATT